AGTAATACTCCACCTTTGTGAATACCCCACTAATACCACACAACTAATACCCCACAAGTAATACTCCACCTTTGTGAATACCCCACTAATACCACACAACTAATACCCCACAACCAATACTCCACCTTTGTGAATACCCCACTAATAACACACAACTAATACCCCACAACTAATACTCCACCTTTGTGAATACCGAAACTAATATCACACAACTAATACCGCACAACTAATACCCCACAACTAATACTCCACCATTGTGAATAACCCAATACCCAACTAATACCACACAACTAATACTCCACAACTAACACTCCACCTTTGTGAATACCCCAATACCCAACTAATACCGCACAACTAATACTCCACAACTAACACTCCACCTTTGTGAATACACCAGTACCCAACTAATACCGCACAACTAATACCCCACAACTAATACCCTACAACTAATACTCCACCTTTGCGAATACCGAAACTAAAACCCCACAACTGATACCCCACAACTGATACCCCACAACTAATACCCAACTATATACCACATCTTAAGTAAGAACTGTGTGACCTTTGAAACATCCTAGTGCAGGGGCTCATACTTGGAAGGCACTCAATAAATTTTGGCTGTAAGAAGATCTAGCTGACAAAACATCTCACTGATTATCAATATAGCTGATCTTAGCAGGACCCTTACTTATTATTTGATTTCCAAATATAAAATACAAATTCAACCTCACCTTTCTTTTCTTCCACGGATTTCGAGAAGGTCTTAAGGGTTTTGGAGTTTCACAGCCAGCCTTTTCTTAAATTGCTTTTCTTCTTTTTAATATTTTTTAATTTTTGTAATTGCTTTTCTTCTATACTGTATATAAATCTATGGTTTTAAAAGATACTAAGCACATTCAAATAATCATCCCACTTAACTTTATAAGAAGAGAGTTGTGTTCATGGAAGTGTTTTTCCTACTAACAGAAAAAAAGGAAGAATTTTCCGATAGTCGTCTGGCTATCTGAGTGTCAGTGAAACAGAGTAACTGGCCTCGACATCTTACATCTCTGCAACAGGAATACTTATGAGCTGGCGTCCTTCACCCTTTCTAGGAACAAACAACTAATTTTCAAAGCTGCCTTTAAGTGGTATTGATACAAAGTGCTGGGAAAGGAAGAGCCTGGTCCATTTAAATGACAGGGAAGCAGGGAAAGGAAGCCCCGTGTAGAGAAAGGGCGTGGCCCCAGCTAGGGCTCCACCCCCACAGACCTAAGTGAGGACAGGCACTTCTTCCCTGGTGCTCAAATGTTTCATTTTCCAAGACCACGCCCCCAACCTGGGCCTATAAAAACCCAAGCCCTTGGCCAGGGGAAGACAGAAGCCCTAGGATGTTCAAAAGAGCAGGTCTGTAGTAGAGTAGGAGAAAGAACACACAGGCAGCTGGACTGGGAGTGGAATACGAGAGAACCGCAGCTGAGGAGGAAAACACCGGTGCCTGGGCTGCTAGCGAAACCCAGCGGTTCCAGCACTGGCCTGCGGATAGGCCACTGACCAGCAGAACTACGTGGAGTTTGCCGGGGCAGTCGGAGTAGAGCTGGGCCAAGTGCCCAGACTACAGAGTTAAACTGTCTCCCTGTAGCTCCCCCATCTCTCTTGAGTTGCTGAGTAAAATCTTGCACTAGGGCCAGGTGTGGTGCCTCATGCCTGTAATCCCAGCTCTTTGGGAGGCCAGGGCGAGCGGATCATGACGTGAAGAGTTCGAGACCAGTTTGGCAGACTTGGTGAAACCCATCTCTAATAAAACTACAAAAAAATTAGCAGGGCGTGTGGTGTGTGTAATCTCAGCTACTCTGGCGAATTAACTGAACCGGGGAGGTGGAGGTTGCGGTAAACCAAAATGGTGCCCTTGTACTCCAGGCTGGCCAACAGTGCAAGGCACTGTCTCAACAAAAAAAAAAAACTTTGTGCTCAGTGTGGTGGCGTGTGCCTGTGAACTCAATAAACTTCTTTTCTTACTATATGACCCTGCCTCAGGTGTTCCTTTATAGCAACATAAATGCACTGAGGCAACTCCCAACCTCCCCATGACTATGCTTCTGACCTGCTGCAGCTGCACTGGCTCCTTCCTGATTCTATCTGATTCTTCACCTGATTCACTGGTTCCTACTCAAATGGCTTCCCTGATACTGAGAAGAGCTCAGCACCCACCTGTCTCCCCGAAGTTCCCCCTCTCATCAGAGCTGAAAAAAATCTTGGCAGGGCACCATGGCTCACGCCTGTAATCCCAGCAATTTGAGAGGCCGAGGCAGGTGGATGGTTAGGTGAAGAGATTGAGAACATCCTGGCCAACATGATGAAACCCTGTCTACTAAAAATACAAAAATTGGTCAGGCATAGTGGTGCATGCCTGTAGTCCCAGCCACTCAGGCACTGAGTCAGGAGAATCGCTTGAACCTGGGAGGCAGAGGTTCCAATGAGCCAACATCACACCACTGCACTCCAGCTTTGCAACAAAGCAAGACTGAATCTCAAAAAAAAACACTTAACCTAAGAAGTGTATTTTACATCCATGTGACACATATGTCTATTCGTGCAAGTTTTTTCTACATCATGGTCATTTGTAGGGAGGTTTACTTGCCCAGAGGTAAATGAAATTCAAGTTATTCAAAACCATGACATTAATGAATTCAGTCTTAAAACTAGCATTAAAAACAACAACAGACATTCGTGCTCAAGTGGGAACTTGAACCGCTGTCTTAATGATTCTTCCAAAATTCAGTAAAAATCGATAAGTTGACTTTAATATATTTTGTTTATCACTTGATTGGGACTGGAACATTTCTGTTGCTCTGCCCTTTTCTTCACAGTATGTGTCAAGGTACAACAATTCAGTTGGCTTTGACTGGCACTGGCATTTTCTCCCAACATGGACATTTGCAGATAAGAAGACCTAACCACATACATGTATATGTACACGCCTTTACATCTGAGCTCAAGCACAACTCATACTCCACCTTTGTGAAACTAATACCACACAACTAATACCACACAACTAATACCCCACAACCAATACTCCACCTTTGTGAATACCCCACTAATACCACACAACTAATACCCCACAAGTAATACTCCACCTTTGTGAATACCCCACTAATACCACACAACTAATACCCCACAAGTAATACTCCACCTTTGTGAATACCCCAATACCCAACTAATACCACACAACTAATACCCCACAACTAATACTCCACCTTTGTGAATACCCCACTAATACCGCACAACTGATACCCCACAATTGATACTGCACAACTGATACCCCACAACTGATACCCCACAGCTGATACCGCAAAACTGATACCGCATAACCAATACCGCACAACCGATACCGCACAACCGATACCGCACAACCGATACCGCACAACCGATACCTCACAACCGATACCCCACAACCGATACCGCACAACCGATACCCCACAACCGATACCCCACAACCGATACCGCACAACCGATACCCCACAACCGATACCGCACAACCGATACCGCACAACTGATACCCCACAACTGATACCCCACAACTAATACCCAACTATATACCACATCTTAAGTAAGAACTGTGTGACCTTTGAACCATCCTAGTGCAGGGGCTCATACTTGGAAGGCACTTAATAAATTTTGACTGTAAGAACATGTAGCTCACAAAACGTCTTAGTGATTATCAATATAGCTGATCTTAGCGGGACCCTTACTTATTATTTGATTTCCAAATATAAAATACAAATTCAACTTCAGCTTTGTTTTCTTCCACGGATTTCGAGAAGGTCTTAAGGGTTTTGGAGTTTCACAGCCAGCCTTTTCTTAAATTGCTTTTCTTCTTTTTATTTTTTTTTAATTTCTGTAATTGCTTTTCTTCTATACTGTCTATAAATCTATGGTTTTAAAAGATACTAAGCATATTCAAATAATCATCCCACTTAACTTTATAAGAAGAGAGTTGTGTTCATGGAAGTGTTTTTCCTACTAACAGAAAAAAAGGAAGAATTTTCCGATAGTCGTCTGGCTATCTGAGGGTCAGTGAAACAGAGTAACTGGCATCGACATCTTCCATCTCTGCAACAGGAATACTTATGAGCTGGCGTCCTTCACCCTTTCTAGGAACAAACAACTAATTTTCAAAGCTGCCTTTAAGTGGTATTGATACAAAGTGCTGGGAAAGGAAGAGCCTGGTCCATTTAAATGACAGGGAAGCAGGGAAAGGAAGCCCCGTGTAGAGAAAGGGTGTGGCCCCAGCTAGGGCTCCACCCCCACAGACCTAAGTGAGGACAGGCACTTCTTCCCTGGTGCTCAAATGTTTCATTTTCCAAGACCACGCCCCCAACCTGGGCCTATAAGAACTTGAGCCTCTGGCCAGGCAGAGACAGAAGAGGCTGGAAGTCCGAAGGAGCAGAAGGGCTGCGGAGGAGGAACCAAGCGGTACCAGCACTGGCCTGCGAGTAGGCCACTGACCAGAACTATGTGGAGTTTGCCAGGGCAGTCGGAGTAGAGTCAGGTCAAGCGGCCAGACTCCAAAGCTAAACCGTCTCCCTGTAGCTCCCTCATCCCCTGAGTTACTCAGTAAAACCTTGCACTCCGGCCATGCATGGTGGCTCAGGCCTGTAACCGCAGCCCTTTGGGAGGCCAAGGCAAGCTGATAACGACGTGAGAAGTTTGGGACCAGTTTTGGCCGGTCCCTAATAAAACTACAAAAAAATTAGCCGGGTGTGTGGTGTGCATAATCGCAGCTATTTGAGAGGCTGCTGCAGGAGAATCTAGTGAACCTGGGAGGCAGAGGTTGTAGTGAACCGAGATGGCGCCATTGCACTCCAGGCCTGGCAACAAAGCGAGGTTCTTTCTAAAAACGAAAAAGCCTTTGTGCCGGGTGCGGTGGCGCATGCCTGTAGTCCCAGCTATTTGGGAAGCGAAGGCTGGGGATCCCTTGAGCCCAGTAGTTCTGGGCTGTAGTGCGCTATGGCGATCAGGTGTCCGCACTAAGTTCGGCATCAACATGGTGACCTCCCGGGAGTGGGGGACCACTAGGTGGCCTAAGGAGGGGTGAACCGGACCAGGTTGCAAACAGAGCAGGTCAAAACTCCCGTGCTGATCAGTCTTGGAATCGTGCATCTGAATAGCCAGTGCACTCCAGCCTGGGCAACATGGTCAGACCCTGTCTCTTAACAAAAATAAATAAATAAAAACCCTTTGCAGTCATTCCCCATTCTCCAAGCCCACATGTGCTTCGATTCTTTAGGTCCACCAAGGCAAGAAACCCCAGGATACAGAAATCCCTCTGCCCTTGTGACAAGGTAGAATGTCTAACTGAGCTAACAGTAGCTGCCTATAGACTGCAAAGTAAAAGAGCACCCTGTAACACACTCCCACTGGGGCTTCAGGAGCTGTAAACATTCACCCCTGGACATTACTGTGGGTTCAGAGCTCCACAACCTGAGCCCCACAACCTGCCTGTCTGTATGCTCCCCTAGAGGTTTGAGAAGTAGGGTGCTGAAGAAGCCAGCCACTTCCCCTGTCGTGCAGGGGGACATGGGAACTTTTCCCATTTCAGTACTTAACAGTGATAGTCACTGTGTGGGCAGAAGTTTTTATGATGTTTTGCTTCCACCGGTTTAAGCAGATCTATAACTTGGTTGTCTGAAGAACCTGGTCCTCTGCTGTCTCTCTTGCTCTTTCTCTTCCTTTGTGATGCCTGCTGTCCTTTGCCCTCCGTGAGTGGAAGCTCCCGGTGGCCCTCATCAGAAGCAGATGCTGGTGTCATGCTTCATGTACAGCCTGCAGAACTGTGAACCCAATAAGCCTCTTTTCTTTATATATGACCCAGCCTCAGGTGTTCCTTTATAGCAACACAAATGCACTGAGACCACTCCCAACCTCCCCATGACTTTGCTTCTGACCTACTGCAGCTGCACTGGCTCCTTCCTGATTTTATCTGATTCTTCACCTGATTCACTGGTTCCTACTCAAATGGCTTTCCTGTTACCGGGAAGAGCTCAGCACCCTCCTTTCTCCCCAAAGGCCTCCCTCTTATGCGAACTGAAAAAATCTTGGCAGGGCGCCTTGGCTCATGCCTGTAATTCCAGCACTTTAAGAGGCCAAGGCAGGTGGATAACGATGTGAAGAGATTGAGACCATCCTGGCCAACATGGTGAAACCCTGTCTCTACTAAAAATACAAAAATTAGCCAGGCATGGTGGGGCATGCCTGTAGTCCCAGCTACTCAGGTGGCTGAGGCAGGAGAATCACTTGAACCTGGGAGGCAGAGTTTCCAGTGAGCCAAGATCACACCACTGCACTCCAGCCTGGCAACAGAGCAAGACTCAATATAAAAAAAAAAAAAAAAAAATCTTAAGAAGTATGTTATACATTCATGTGACACCTATGTCTATTCATGCAAGTATTTTCTACATCATGGTCATTTGTAGGGAGGTTTACTTGCCCAGAGGTAAATGAAATTCAAATTGTTTACAACCATGACATTAATGAATTCAGTCTTAAAACTAGCATTAAAAACAAGGAGCATTCGTGTTCAAGTGGGAACTGGAGTCGCTGTCTTAATGGTTCTTCCAAAATTCAGCAAAAATAGGTCAGTTGACTTTAATCTATTTTGCTTATTTTGTTTGTCACTTGATTGGGACTGGAACATTTCTGTTGCTCTGCCCTTTTCTTCACAGTATGTGTCAAGGTACAACAATTCAGTTGGCTTTGACTGGCACTGGCATTTTCTCCCAACATGGACATTTGCAGATAAGAAGACCTAACCGCATACACATATATGTACACGCCTTTACATCTGAGCTCAAGCACAACTAATACCCCACTTTTGTGAATGAGATTTAATCACTATATACCACATCTTAAGTAAGAATTGTGTAATTTTTAAAACATCCTAGTATGGGGTCTCATACTTGGAAGGCACTCAATAAATTTTGGCTGTAAGAAGATCTAGCTGACAAAACATCTCACTGATTATCAATATAGCTGATCTTAGCGGGACCCTTACTTATTATTTGATTTCCAAATATAAAATACAAATTCAACCTCACCTTTCTTTTCTTCCACGGATTTCGAGAAGGTCTTAAGGGTTTTGGAGTTTCACAGCCAGCCTTTTCTTAAATTGCTTTTCTTCTTTTTAATATTTTTTAATTTTTGTAATTGCTTTTCTTCTATACTGTATATAAATCTATGGTTTTAAAAGATACTAAGCATATTCAAATAATCATCCCACTTAACTTTTAAGAAGAGAGTTATGTTCACGGAAGTGTTTTTCCTACTAACAGAAAAAAAGGAAGAATTTTCTGATAGCTGTCTGGCTATCTGAGTGTCAGTGAAACAGAGTAACTGGCCTCGACATCTTACATCTCTGCAACAGGAATACTTATGAGCTGGCGTCCTTCACCCTTTCTAGGAACAAACAACTAATTTTCAAAGGTGCCTTCAAGTGGTATTGATACAAAGTGCTGGGAAAAGAAGAGCTTGCTCCCTTTAAATGATAGGGAAGCAGGAAAGGAAGTGCTGGGTAGAGTAAGGGCGTGGCCCCGGCAAGGGTTCCACCCCCACAGACCTAAGTGAGGACAGGCACTTCTTCCCTGGTGCTCAAATGTTGCATTTTCCAAGACCACGCCCCCAACCTGGGCCTATAAAAGCTTGAGCCCCTGGCCAGGCAGACACAGAAGAGGCTGGAAGTCCAATGGTGCAGGTGGGCTGCGAGAGGAATGCGGCGGTACCGGCACTGACATGTGGCTAGGCCACTGGCCAGCAGAACCATGTGGAGTTTGCCGGGACAGTCCGAGAAGAGCCGGATCAAGCGGCCAGACTCCAGAGTTAAACCGTCTCCCTGTATCTCCCCCATCACCTGTGAGCTACTCAGTAAAATGTTGCAGTAGGGCCAGGTGTGGTGGCTCACGCCTGTAGTCCCAGCTCTTTGGGAGGCCAGGGTGAACGGATCAAGAGGTGAAGAGTTCGAAACCAGTCTGGCCAACGTGGTGAAGCCCGTCTCTAATAAAACTACAAAAAAAATTAGCCGGGTGTGTGATACGCGTAATCCCAGCTACTCGGGAGGCTGTGGCGGGAGAATCGACTGAACCTGGGAAGTGGAGGTTGCGGTGAACCCAGGTGGTGCCATTGCCCTTCAGGCTGGGAGACAGCTGGAGGCTCTGTCTCAAAACAAACAAACAAAAAAGCCTTTGTGCAAGGCGAGGTGGTGCGTGCCTATAGTCCAGCTACTCAGGAGGCTGAGGTGGGAGGATTGCCTGAGCCCAGGAGTTCTGGGCTGTACTGCACTATGCCGATTGGGTGTCTGCACTAAGTTCGGCATCAATATGGTGACCTCCGGGAGCAGGGGACCACCAGGTTGCCTAAGGTGGGTTGATCCGGCCCAGTTCAGAAATGGAGCAGGTCAAACCAGTGCTGATTGGTAGTCGGAATGCGCCTGTGAATAGCCACCGCACTCCAGCCTGGGCAACACAGCGAGATCCCTCTCTTCAAACAAAAAAACCTTTGTACTCCTTCCCCATTCTCCAAGCCCAGGTGTGATCCGATTCTTTAGGTCCACCAAGGCAAGAAACCCCAGGATACAGAAATTCCTCTGCCCTTGTGAAAAGGTGTAATGTCTAATGGAGCTAACAGTAGCTGCCTATAGACTGCAAAGTAAAAGAGCACCCTGTAACACACTCCCACTGGGGCTTCAGGAGCTGTAAACATTCACCCCTAGACACTACTGTGGGGTCAGAGACCCATAGCCTGCCTGTCTGTATGTTTCCTTAGAGATCTAAAAAGCAGGGTGCTGAAGAAGCCAGCCACTCCCCCTGTAGTACAGGGGGGACAAGGGAACGTTTCCAGTTTCAGTACTTAACGGTGATAGTCACTGTGTGGGCAGAAGTGTTGATGATGTTTTGCTTCCGCTGGTTTATGTAGATCTATAACTTGGTTGTCTGAAGAACCTGGTCCTCTGCTGTCTCTCTTGCTCTTCCTCTTCCTATGTGATGCCTGCTCTCCTTTGCCCTCTGTGAGTGGAAGCTCCCGGCAGCCCTCATCAGATGCTGGTGCCATGCTTGTTGTACAGCCTGCAGAACTGTGAACACAATAAGGTTCTTTTCTTTATAAATAAGCCTCTTCCTTTATAAAGATTAAGATTCATGAAGCAATAAGAGTAATTTATGTTAGTTTAAACATTTATGATGCAGCCAACTAAGAATCTCGGGAAAATATATGTCATTGAACCCTGAGCACTGTGTTACTTGTCTTGTTCTTCCAAATGTTTCTTCCAGACACACACACATATGTTGATGGGTTTCTGCAGGAGTCACTTGAAGAAGACGACAGCTTCCAAGGAGGGATTGAGCATCTAAGGGGGATAGAATATTAAGTACTGGCCAGGTTCGGTGGCTTCACACCTGTAATCCCAGCACTTTGGGAGGCAAGTAAGTAGAAAAAAAAACAAAGAAAAAAAGTGCCGTGGTAAAATCTATTCAGTGGTTAAATCAGAAAAATCAGACAAAAATATTTACCATATTTGTGCATACTAAAGTAGCTGGTTATCTTTCACGAATCAGTTAACTTCTCTGCAATTTGGGTTTGCTACAGAGGTGACCAACAATTTAATCAATCTGAGTCAGTAGACTAAGGATACATTCTGCCCACCTGATAACTTCCCTTTGAAGAGATGCCATTGTTTTATGTCCTAAGCTATCAGGTTGCTATGACTGATTGGTGGGAAGACAGTGCCTTGCACAATGTTTGGTCCATAACAGATGCTCAAGGAGTATTTGTTGACTCAATTAATGAATGATTGAGGTGTTCAATATGCCTGACAAATCTCCCTTTATTCTAGACAGTTTTGGAGTTTGTTCTATTCAAGCAAACAAGCTTACTCTGAATTCTGTGGGTAGGAAAAAAAATGTCAGCCCGACAGCTTTTTTTGTTTTTCCGTCTGTGAATGAGAAAAAAACAAAACAAAACATTTGAAGTAGTATAAAGAGGCAAATATAGACACCAAACACTATTAAACAAAATTCAATTGTTCCTAATTGAGCTCAATCAAATTGCTTCTGACTTTGAAAGTTGGAGAGTACGTCTTCCCTGCTTGACAGGCACT